AAGGCACTGGATCCAGTGATCCTCAAGTGATTGGGAATCTGTCTTGGAGGGTGCTTACAATCGCGTGTGAACCCAACCAAACCACACTCACTGCATCCAGTCAATTCTGACGGATAGTGACCCTATAGGACAGAGCAGACTAACTCTTTCCCGGAGCTGAACACCTCTTCTGTTTTCTGCGGACCTAGTGTGGAAACAAGGTCCAAACCACAGAATCGATATGTGATCGAACTAGGAGTCGTTTCAACTCACCGAGGGAGCGGTGGGAGTATGTCTGAAGTGATTTATTTTTCTTGGTTTTATCTTTTTTTTCTTAATTTGATGCATTTCCCCTAATGATATCTGGTCCAAATCACAGATTTGAAATAATTTTCAGTATTAAAACTCAATTCAAGCTCATTTAAAACTTTAAGCTGACATTGAATTTAGAGCTCTTTCTCATCCTAGCACAGACTAGATATATGGCTTGAGGGTGTTGGGATAAAATGCAAAACTGGATATGCTACCTTTAATTCTCCGTTATCTCTCTCAGTTACAGGCTTTGGTCCTCTGAGGTGAGGAAAAGGGACAAGCAGAGAAGCAACATAAAGCCCTGTGTTCCCTTTGTCAGCTGTGACTATCTCTCAGGCTAACCCCACTGGCTCTTTAGTCCACCACGTACGTCAGAAGGATAACAGAGACAAAAGTACCCAGGGTGCAGTTAAAAGAAATACTTCTGAGCAATTAATAGAGTGGGATGGTGTGTAAAAGAATCAGAAGAAAGGGGTTAACTATATTAGGGGGAAGAGGGGACTTGCTTCTTTTTTAGGAAAAAAAAAAGTTCTCATGGATTATCTGTTAATAAATGTAAACTTTCAATCTATTTTCCCAATGATAATGTTTACCACAATGGAAATAACCAATATAAATTAAAACTGATGCCAATTAAAGCGCACAAGGCAATGTTTACTACAAGCAAAAAATGAAAATAAAATAGAAATATCAGATTAAAATTGTGAAAATAATAGAGAGAAGTTAGTCAAAACAAATAACAAAAAGAGGATACTGGCAAGAATTAAAATGGTGCCTGTTAATATTTTTTAACCAATAATAGTGAAATAAAATCCAAATCAAATTTAGATAGAAAAATGCTGGCCTATGAAATCTCGACTATAGATATAAAAAAAAAAAAAGGGAACATTTAGAAGGTTAGAAGCTATAAGTGGGAAAATTGATATTAGCAAAAGAACTGAATAACAAATCAAATTGCCTGTTATAAAAGGTACACAGAAAGTAGTTTACCTTGGTAGAAATAGTTCAATGAAATACATGGGAAAAACCTTGGGGATATTTTAATAGTAGTGTAAAGAAAATTGATACATGAGTACATTTAATGGAGCTAAATCTAATTTTTAAGTTTTGGGCTTTTTAAAAATAAAGACACATTGATGTTCATGTTTCACAGCTTGGAATGTTTATGTTAATAATTGCAGTCCCCAAATGCACAGTCTTGGACTTAAAATAGCACCCAAACCTGAAAAAACCCACTGTTATCTAGTCAATGTATCTGCACAGCTCCCTGCAGGACAGTGTAGAACTGCCCGTAGAGTTGCCACAGGAGTAGAATGCCTCCTTTGTCTCTCTCAGAATGGCTGATGGTTCTCAGTGCTGATTTGTGATTAGCAGCCAGTAAGGCCTCCCTCATCAAGGGACTTACCATAATGTAGAAAACTGTGTGATTATTAGGGTGTAGTGCAACACCCCTTATTCATGTCACAACTTGATGATGTTTCCTTGAGGGTAGGGCCTACATCATATTTTTGAATAGAGAGCACCCTCTTCCTTTTTAAAAAAATCATTTTATTGGGGGCTCTTACAACATTCTATACATCAATTGCACCCTCTCTTTTTTGTTCTTCCTCATGGCCTGAATCTTGTATCTGACATCTTGGGACGTGGTCCAGTGGCGTAACATGTATTTGCCTGCTAACTTAGCAGCTGTCAGTGGCCTGCCATGTTGCCTTCCAACCTTGGATTCATTTTACTTGGCATCCACCAGCCTGCTTTCTGGTTCATCTTCCTGCCTCCTGATTCATTGGCCTTTGCAGCTGCATGAGTCTGGATGGGCCTCCGGCTTAGCATCTGACTTGAGCCAGGCTGGGTTCGCCTTCATCGGCAGCTGTATGAGCTGCTTTCTCTTGATAGAAATTTCTTTCTTATGTAAGTGTCATTGGTTTTTCTTCTCTAGAGAATACAGCCAAACACATATAGGCAGCTGCTGCAGTAATTTTAGGTGAGATTTGTGCAGAGCAACTTTCATCCGGCTATGGTTTTTTTGTTTTTTGATTAAAGCGGAGTCCTGGCGGCACAATACTGAAGGGTTAGCTGCTAAAATGAAAGGTGGGTGGTTTAAACATACTCCACTGGGGAAAGACTTGGCGATTTGCTTTGTCAAGATTAGAACAATGGAAGGCGCCATTCTTCTGTGTCTCATGGTGTCAAAAAACGGACTCAACAGTAGTTCTTAATAACAACATTAAAGGAAAACTCAGCTCTTCCTCGCTCTGTGTTTCCCCTTCACAAAAGTGTTTCGCTTGTTATTATCCGCCTTTCATGTCATTAGACTAAGTAGCAGTTTTTAAAATAAATTGATGCTTGGTAACACATTTTTAAGACTCTGGACTCCAAAATTCAATATAGCAGTATACTTCTCTCTCAATTTTCCTTTGAAAGGTATTTGTTTAATCTCTACTTGTCAATCTTAAGAAAAACAGTTATTATTCTTATAAGTGAAAGCTGGAGGTACTAACATTTTATAATGATAAGGTTATAGGGTTTATGCAGATGTTTACAAATATAAAATTGCATGTGAACACTAAATTATAGTAATATTAGCTTTCATAATATGCACATTTAGTAGTATGATTACTGAACTCAGCTAATTTGAGTTTGTTTGCCTAAAGTCTATTTAATTTTCATTGCTTCCTCTACTTATGGCTTGCAAAGGTTTTTAATTATTGTAATAGATACTTTTTTTAGATCAAATGATTCTTATAACACATGGTATATTTCTTGCAACTAATATATAAAACTAGGCACACTGTCTTGATGTTATTTTAAGTAAGTTAGAATGAGCTTTATGAGACTATGTCTGATACACATGTTGCCCCGTGAAAAAGTAAGCAGTATAGCCCTACAGAGAAGATACGTGTCAAATTCACAATCAATGATAACTCAAAATGCCTTCCATGCAGGAGACCTTGTTTCAATTTCTACCCAATTTACCTCATGCACAGTCACCACTTATCTGTCAGTGGAAGTGTGTGTGTGTGTGTGTGTGTTCCTAGATGCTGGAAAGTTTTCAGTGGAGTGTCCAGAGTAAAGGAACTAGGAAGAAAGTCCTGGCATTATACTTCCAAGTAGACAATGGAAACCTCAGGGACCACAGTAGGTCCAATTTGCAACCATCATGGGATGGCACAGGATCAGATAGCATTTAATTTGATTGTGCTTGGGCTTATTAGGAGAGGAGGTGATTCTGTAGCAGCTAACAGCAACTAGACCACCTCATCATGCTTGTGTTCTAAGGTCAACTTTAAAGCGAATTAGAAGGACATCACGCCCAAATATACGACTTTTAGTATCAGACAAATCTGAGACTTACAAACCCACTTTGCTACTTCTCAGACTCTAGCTCAATCATAGGATGACACACTGAAAATGGACATAATAATACTACTTAACTCCGGTCATTAATAAACTCCCCTGCTGTAGAGTCCATTATAAAAACCTATGTGAGGTTTCCAAGGCTGCAAATCTTTATGAGAGCAGAAAGGTTCATCTTTGTCTGGTAGGGAAATTGGTGCTCTTGACCTTCTGACCTTGGGTTAGCGGTCTAATGCTTACCCAACAGGACAGCCGGGGCTGATTAAGTAAGACCGTGGTTAAAAATCACTTGGCATAGAATAGGACACAACTAGTAGGTATCATTATTTTCAGCCTTCTACTCGAAGACTTTCCCCCTAGTTATTATCTGAATTTAATATAAGGATGTGTGTGCTCAAGCCATACTGGGAGCATTGTGGTACAAAGAGAATGGAAGAGTGAAGCAGGTGTTAAACATCACAGATCAGACGTGTATTTTAAAGGAAGTCGGAGAGTTGGTTTGAAAGAGCGAATGGTGGTGCCATTTTGTGCAGAACTTAATTTAACCATGTGCGGAAAGTCTGGTGGTGGACAGGAATGTGGCATATAGGTTCCATATGTGTCGCTGGGGTGGGGTCATAGGTTATGAAGTAGCTGATTCTCTTGTTTCTTGATGTTTTGCTCTACCCTTCAATTTAAAATAAGCAATTGTGCTTTGAAAAATTAAGCAAAACTCAAAGAATTTTATTCTAAACAGTTACAAAGTAAAAAAGGGCAACAGGGCGTAGAAGTTGATTTTACTTCAGAGTTAGAGAAACTTGGCTCAACTGATATCCTCCCTCTCCGAGAAAACGCCTCCCAGCTGGGACGGAGTGACAGTCCCGCCAGCGACGAGGAACACTCAGATTCTGTGGCTGAACTTTGCAATTGCACTGCCATTTCTATCACTGAAGTCCAACTTAAATTGCTGAGTGGCTCACCCGTGAGGGAGCACACACAGATGAAGGGTACAACTTCTACCACAGATGAGTTTTTCTCTCCCCTTCTATTTTGAGAAAGCTTTGTAGACATTTTTACTCCTAACAAGAGAATATTTCAATTAAAAGACCTAAAATTACCCGTCTTCCATATCAAAGATTCTCGATCTGTAGATCTATGATTCAACTGAAAATTTACTAATGATCATTCACTCCTTCATTACTTCAAGGATAATAGACAAACTAGAAAGTCCAATATATTGTATCGAGATACATGAATTTGTGACACTTGTAATCCATAGTAGATTCAGAATAATTTAAAAAAACCTTCATTACTGGCCGTGCCCTGAGGAGAGAAAATTGCCTCTTGTTCAAGGTAACAAGCGAGGAATGTGGGACTCACCATTTGCAAATGACCACCCAGGCCAGTGCTGCCAGGCTGCCAATGAGCACGCCACCTAATGTGATGGAGACGACTGAGGCTTTGGGGAGTCTTCCAGAATCTAGGATACAGAAAGAAGACCAGGGTAAAGTCGATACACGTCAACATAGACTCACTGGCAGTGAACTTGGTTTGGGTTTTGTATGTGAGCCCCGTGACAGAGCAGAAAGGGATTAGATGAGGGAAAGAAAATGTGGATACAAAGCCGGTCGTGGACATCTGGCTCCCAGAAGACACCACAAAGTTGTACAATTGTCTCTTCAGGTACATTTTGCTTACCACAGGAGCAGTCTGAAAGTTAAACACAAATCAAGAGAAGGCCCGGTCGGAGTCCTTGCCGTTCTTAGAGCCTCTCCCGGGGAAGCATAGAGATAGCATGGCAGCCATCCGAGTCCAAGCTAAGCCGTCATTTACAGATTGGAAAAAGAAAGTAAAGGGTGTCCATGAAAGCATCAGACAGCAGAGGGATGAAGGGTGGACGGTGTGCAGGGAGGAAAGAGGCTAGTCCAGGAATCTGGAGCCCAGGATTTATAGTTTCTTAGTAATCCCAGAAAGAAAGGTCTTTAAAATTTTTCATGGTAAGAAGATTGACCTTGAATAGATCATTTCTATTGTTCCCTTGAAGCTCTAAATTTCTATGTTTCCTTTGATTAGGTGGCAATCTGGGGTTAATGTGACTTGGATTTCATATCACAATTGTATAATGAACTGTTCTATTTAGATACTAAGTACCTTTCCCTTAAAAATAAAAGGTTCAGTGAATGCTAATTGTAACCATTAAAGGTCAAGTTGACATAGAGGATGTAATAAAAAGCCATTTCAAAACGAACAATTTTAATACTCTCAACTGTTTTATGTATATATAAAACCCAAGTCTGAGCACACCAGTATTAGATAATCACGTACAGACGGAAGAAAACACCATGGGGTTTAGGTTGAGGGAGACTTCAGATAAAATCTTTCATGTCACTGAGTCGTGGTGACTCACAGTGACCCGTTAGGACAGAGTAGGGACTGCTCTCTAGAGCTTTCTAGACTGTAAATCTTTATGGGAGCTCAGCTTCCACTTTCTCCAATGGAACAGCTGCTAGGCTTGAATTACCAATCTCTCAGTAGCCCACAGCTTAAATCAGTACACCACCAAAGCTCTTTGTGCATGATGCAATGATACTTCCATCATCTCTATGCATGATGCAATGATACTTCCATCATGTCTGTGCGCGATACAATGATACTTCCATCATCTCTGTGTATGAGACCATGATACTTCCATCATCTCTGTGCATGATATAATGATACTTCCATAGTCTCTGTGCATGATGCAATCAACTCATAACACTTTAACTCCCACCTGCAAGGCGATGAAGGAGCTTTGGTGGTGCAGTGGGTTAAGCATTGGGCTGCAACTCAAAGTCGATGTTCAAACCCACCATTTGCTCCATGTGAGATAGATGAGGCTGTTTGCTCGCATAAAGATTTATAGTCTCAGGAACTCTAGGGGTCAGTTCTACTCTGTTCTACAGGGTTGCTGTCAGTAGGAATTGACTCAGTGGTCGAGGGTGGGTGTGCTGGTGAGATTCAAATGTTTGCATCTGACTAAACACATCAGGCTTCAGGTGCTCATGCCTACCTGTCTTCTGGTTTGTTCTGCCTTAATTTTGTACTTCAAACTCAAAATATTCAAATGGAACTCACCAACCTCTAATCCAACCTGACTTCTTTTAGTGTATCCTTTCTCATTTGGGTGCTACATTGCACTCAAAATCTATTTAGAAATTTCAGTCACTCTGAGTCATCCTATTCGCTCACTTATGTACAGAGACCATTGTTACTGCTTTACCTTCACGTTCTAAGCTCTCGTCACATGGCACTTACATTTCTATTCTCTAGCATATCAAACTCTGCTGCCTCTAAGTTTTCTAACATGAAATTCCACCTTATCTAAGGTCCTCCACCATTACTTCTGCTCATCCTGCTTAGATAACTCCTACTTATTCTCCTAGATTCAGTTTGAGAATCTCCTGTGGCGGGAAGTCTTCCTTAGGCCTGGTTAAGTGCCATTTGTACGTATGTATTTATGGAACCGTTGTTATACAGAGAGTTAGAATGTGACCTCCATGTGAGGGAAGGCACGCAGACCCCGCAGTGGACACTAAGAGGGACTTGAGTATACCAACGATTGTGGAGATGGTGCAGGACCAGACAATGTGTGTTCTGATGTACGTGGCTGTCAGTATTGAAGTATATGTTCTCTAAGTATATAAAAATGATGTGAGTTGGTTTTGATACATGGGAGCCCTTGGGTGTCAGAGTAGCACTCAACTCCACAGAGTTCCCCTTGGTTGTGGTGTTTCAGAAGTATATTGTGAGGCAGTTCTCAGGAGATTTAAACAACCAGTTTTTAGGTTAGTAGGGCTGTTTCCATAACCCAAGGATTCAGGTCAGTAGTCCACTGCCATTGAGTGATCCTGCAGGACAGAGTAAAACTACCCCCTTGTAATCCTGAGGCTGTAATTCTTTACAAGAGCAGAAAGCCTCGCCTTTCTCCTGTGCAGAGGCTGGTGGATTCAAACTTCTGACTGTGCTGTTAACAGCCCAACACATACCCCAGATAGCACCTGGGATCCTGGGTAGGTCTGGAATCGTGGATGCTAAATAAAAGAATGGAGACCTTGTGATCGCCTTTGCAGTTTGTTGTTGTTATTGTCATATTTTTTACTGAAGCTGGTTTGATCCCTTATCTCACATGTAAGCTGCCAAGGCTCACGTTTCAGTCCTTGATTCATCATGAATGGGAAATGAAGATGCAGACTCTTTGTAAACTATCCCTCCCACTGCTCTCCTCCTCTTTCATCAAGAGAGGCTGACCCAGCAACCTAGTAGAAAATAATGCTAATTTGAAAGGGATACACCAGAATGATCAAAGAAAGAACTCAGAAGGGGCTTATAGCTTTAATTTTCACTTTTCTTTAATCTTGTTTGGTAAGTTTTCTGTTTGCTAGAGATAGAATGATTTATAGTAACCGACCCTTAGATATCACCAGCTGGGTTCCAGACACATTTCTAAATATTTCACATATTTAGATACTTTACGTACCATTTCATTCTTCCACGAGCCCGATGTGGCAGGTGGGGTTGCTGTCCCTATCAAGAAAGGAGGAGCCCCGGTGACACCGTGGTTCAAGGACTTGGCTGCTAACTCAAAGGCTGGCAATTCAAATTTCTCCACCACTCCACTGCAGAAAAGGTGTTTCCATAAAGAGTTCAGCCTTAACAAGCCTATAAGGCGGCTCAATTCTGTCTACTCAATGGCAGCAGTTGGGTGTTGCTTTGGTTTAGAATGAGAAAATGGAGATTCCGAGGAGGTGCTTAAATGGTTTAGTACATAGAGCTAGTAAATGGTGATTTTATTTTCAGCCTTGACCAGCATGCCCAGTGAGGAAAGAGAGCACTGATTTTATCGACAGACATTAGAGCATAGTTAACATTAAAAGAGTTTATAGAAATTTGATGAGCACTTTTGTTTCTCAGATCGGAATTCCTGTAAGGAGCAGACACATTCTAATAATTATACACCACTGGCTGTACCAGTTCCACATTCCAATCACTTCCAAATTCCAGCTGCTCATTTTTAAAGGAACGATAAACATGTTATTTTAGGACGAAGTCAAGCTGTACTCTTGCTGTGTTTTTCAAATTCATTAGACAATGTACTAGGAGCCCCTGTGGAGCGTAATAAAAAGTTATAACAACAGCAGTTAGAAGCACCACATCAAACACAAAGCAGCAGCCTAAGTAAAGAATGCCAAATAGCAATCAAGCCACACATAATTTAAAAGTCTTGTTTTAATTTATTTTTTTCTAATTTGGAAGTAACTTCATTAAGCACTTCAATCAGCTAATGTTGATCGAATGCCTTTTAGGTTATGGGCACCGTACTAAGGGCCAGGGAGCCAAAAATATGCGAGACTTTGTTCTTGCCCTCATAGAGCTTATCTTCCTGAAAAACAGACAATGAATGGATAATTGCACATGCAAAAATGACTAATACCACCGAGTCAAGTGCTACTCTTAGTGACCGTACAGCTTCCTAGGATTTCTGAGGCAGTAACTCTTTATGGAAGTAGAATGCCTGAGTTTTCCTGAGGAGTGACTGGCTGGTTTGAGACACAGCCCAAGGCTTAACCCTCTGGCCACCTGGGCTTCTTGAAGAGAATTAAGCGGAAATAGAGGGAACTATGTTAAGAGGAACTTGTAGGATACTAACTGCACAGGGCTCTCATAAATGATTCCATCTGACCTATGAAAGAAAAGTTGTTTGAAATGAAATAGCAGGGAAAATAATTTTGAAAGACAGGTAGGCAGATATGGGCAGGACTAGGGTATGGACAATGTGGGATTTTTCAAGAACCAAGAAAATAACTGCTATAGATTTGATTGTGTCTCATCAAAATATGAATACTAACCCACATACCTGTGGCTATAATTCTATTTAGAAATATGTTTTTCTTTGACATGTTAATACAGCCACGATCAGTTTAAGGTGTGGATGTGCCCCAAACTTAATAACTTCTGAATGATAAAAGAGAGCAGTTTAGCTATAGAAGCAGACACAAGCAGGGAAGACAGTGATAGGTGCCATATGAATGTCAGGCTCCTACCTCTGAATCTGAAATCAAAAGCACCGAGACTCCTGAAACGAAATAAGACATAGACTCATCTCCCTTTTCACATTAGTGCTACATTCTACTGGGCTGTTGGGTCATCCTATTCTTATTCAAGAGGAGCATTGTGGGAGGAATAGACTACAAAGAGACTATAAATCATAAATATTCATTTACCATTAGTGATTAACCAAGGACTGACCATTTAAAGAAATGTGAGCTTTGACAGTTTAAATGTGAGATAAAGGGTCAAACAAAAAATATAAACAGCTTAAGTAAAAAATGACAAAGACCCCAAACTGATAGAGAACTTTCCACTATAACTGGTGCCCAGAATTCAGGCACCTAACCTCCTGAACCATGAAAAAATAAGTTTCTTTTCCTCAGAGTCAACTGC